TTTTAGCAATTATTTGAGATTTTATTTCTCATTTTTGAATTATAAATAAAAAATATGAGTCATTTGGTACAATAAAACTTAATTTCTAACATATTGCTCCCCTCTCTCTCTCTCTCTCTCTACATACACACACACATAGATATATATATATATATATATGTTTTTTTTGAAAGCCCAAAAATTTGAAAGCACAAAAAGGCTAATACATTAACTAGAAAGAAAGATATAGATACAATGTGATGGAGGGCACAAACATGGTACCCTGCTCATACCAAAACCACAAGGGGTTCAACAACTAGAAAATACTAAAAAGTACATTAGAGACATAAAGAAAAAAAAAACTTACAAATGCATAAATACATAGTATCAGGTGGCTAGAGAGTAACCTAATTTGATTTTGCCTCTGACTCTGGTTCTAGGAAAGGAGCAAGCTAATAAGTTTGTAAGATGATTGTCATTGCCAGGAGTAACCAATCCAATATGTTCCCGAGCTAAAGTCGGTCTCCATTCTTCTTCTTCCTCCTGAAATAGACCTGTCATTCCTCTTCCGAAGATTGGCTCGTCTGATTTTGGTCTAAAGTTTGTTGGAGACGTGCAGATTGTTGGACATTAGAAGCAAGTACATGTATCGGCTGATCTGTTATTGGATCAAAGGAGCACTCTCGTGTGTCTTGGCACTCTCGTGTGAGCACTCTCGTGTGTCTTGGCGTGTAAGTGAATCATCTTCAATAACAGTGGGTGGTATGAGCACAACTGGATCTGTAGTTGTAGTATGTTCTTCTTCAGGAACTGTGGTGTTGGAAAGAGGATCAGCTTACATCTTCTCAACAGGGATAGTAGGTGGCTGATCTTTAGAGATATTCGGCTTTAGATGAGGATGCAAACGATAGCAAATAGTAGAGTTGTGGTCAAACATACTATAATGAGAGCAATAAGAAGAATGTGGTTCTATTTCAACCTTTTGTCAATACCTGTTGTGTATAGTGTCAATCCATATCTCATCCGGAGCTGGTTGAGTGATATCTCTCTCAACTAACACACAAGTCACAGAGGGTTTAGTGATAGCAAGGGTAGGACTATCCACCTTGAGAGGCTTACCATAAGCAGTTGCTAAAGAGTAGAGGATTTCCATGTTGATAGCTTTTCGAGAGAAAATGCGAGTGTAATCGGCATCATGAGATAGTTGAATAAGTATATGTCTACTGTCAAGTAGGCCAATGTTCCAACTGCCCAATAGTTTCATAGCATCAAACTCATTCCTAATGATCTCCAATTTTCGGTGGCTATAAAGAAATTTCCCCACTAGAGAAAAATGCCAAGAGGACGCGAGAGTACCGGTTTCAACCTCTGTGAGAATAAGTGCGAGAATAAGTGCAGGCTTCCCTTTCAATATCTGTGAAAATAAGTGCAGGTTTCTCATTTTTTTTTCAAGTTTCTTAATAAAAGTGTTCTCACCTCCACCTTCAAAAGCCTCATGTAAAGATTTTGGAACATTGCAGGACTTACCGATGGCAAAACTAGGCGCTGAACCTGGAGGAGGGGCACGGGCAGAAAAGTCGCCGGCAAGAGCATTTGCATGGAAACGGAGCGTCGAGACCATCTCCCTCACAAGACAGAAGTCTGGCGGGCAGGAAGCGAGCAGCGAGCCCTTCTGCGAACAGGAGTCTGTCGGGCGAGCAAAAAGGCATAGAAATGAAACTGCAGCATGAAACCGCAGCTCAAAACAGCGTCGTTTGGCGGGCAAGGGGCGAGCAGCGAGCCCTTCTGCGAACATGAGTTTGTCAGGCGAGCAGAGAGGCGCATAAATGAAACCGCAGCTCAAATCAGTGTTGAAGTCCTTCGTCGTTTGGCGCAGATGACGAACGCAAAGCTTCATCTTCGTCGTCGTCGTCGTCGAGTTCGTCGTCGAGCACAGTCGAAGGAATCAAAGAGGGTTTCGCCATCAGGCACAACCCTAGCAGAGCAGATGGCGTGAATCATTATATATATATATATATATATTTTTTTTTTTTTTTTT